CACACACACACACACACACACACACACACACACACACACACACACACACACACACACACACACAATATCCCCCCTTCCCTCCTCGCCTTTTTCTTCTTAACCTCGTACACATAATTCTCCACAGAGCTTTTCTCTGTCTTTCACCTCAGTATTTCCACCGAGCCCCCCTCCTTGTTGCACTCCTCAATGTCATGCACATGATCGTGGCGTTCTCTTGTTCTTAAGAAGATAGTCTTCCCCCCTAATTGTCTTCCTACGCACACACCCACACACTCGTCATATTTCATCTCAGCATCCTCTGCCTACCAGCCCTCCGCCTCGTTGCTCTCCTCAGTCTTCCTCTGCCACTTCACCCTTCACATGTACTGCACATAGTCATCCTCCAATTCGTTGAAACACAGTCTCTGCAAAACTTTCACCTCGTTATTCAGATGACAGGGCTCATATAGAGACATCCTAATTGGGACAATAATAGCCAAAAGACTGGACTTCCAACTTCCACCTTCAACTACCTTACACCACATTCCTTCTTTAAAATCCCTCACAAGTGCATCCCTTGTTTCCATAACCATCTATCCTTGACACTCTAGCTTTGTTCTGCTCTCCTCCACCTAATCTGCATCCTTGTCCTCACATACCTCCACTGACTCCACCTTCCCCCTTGTCTGCTGCTTCTTTCTTACCCATTGAACCCCTCCGTCCTACTATTTCGACACCCATGCCCTCTGTCCTCCTTCCCCACACCTACTCTGTCCTGCAACAGCCCAACATCTTCCCCCACCATTTGTCACATCTATACAGCAAACCATGGAAAGCGTGGGACAAAGGGTCTGCCGAGGGATCTACCAATACTGAACCAGAAACGTTTCACATACCCAAGAATTAAAGGGTACTGTTAAGGGGCTCATCAACCAGACCCAACATAGGCTTGATCCAGGTCTTCTCAGAAATATCCGGCAAGTTTACAAGGGCAGGGCTCACAGGTACTGATGGTTTTACACCACCATCATGCACGATGTGCCTCTGAGAGTCTGCCTAATCAATACAAAGACCCTCGTGCCATCACACCATCATTCATCTCTTCTGACAGATTACCCAATCCATGCAAGGACCATGACGACCAGATGCCAACTTACCCATGAAGAGTTCATAGTAATAATGATTCTCAATTGCGTACTTGAACTGCTTCTCAATGTCGTCCTCCACATTGACAGTGCAGATCGTCGTCTTTGGAACATCTCCTACACAGATGCCACAATGGAGTCAAACCAAGAACGATTAGCAATGGCATGTGCAAGCATGTTCATTTCATCACACGGAGGAACCACATCAAAAGCCACCTGACAGCCTCAACCTCTTAAAGGCCCTCTGCTGTGCAAAACTTGTCCTCGTTTGGCCCATATCTCGGTTCGGACTCTCATCAATACGAATATTCAATTGTTAGTCAATCCTGAGCTAGGCGCTGAAAATAACTCCAGACGATCTTTCATGATTTTCTACTCGAGAATTAAATGGTGATCCAAGGAACCCTCCCCCTACCGGGAGCCTCCCGGTTGGACCGGCCGGTGCACCGGTCCTGTAGGCTACCGGTCACCCCCAGCACATTTGGGCCAGGGCCCAAAATCAGGCCGAAAAGTGGCCTAGCCCAGAAACGGCCAACGCTGCAAAAACAAAAGCTGGGCCGGTACGGCCCACGTTTGGCAAAAACCAGGCATCCGATCTTGGCTGCTGATCTTCGTAGATCGGCAGCTGAGATCAGGTGCATTTCAAAATGTGGTGAGTGCAGATGAACTCCCACATGCTGTGCTCTGCAAGGTCCCTCCGTCCGACCTCCACCCTTCATATTTCCCCTCTCGCTCAGACCTTCCCCCATCGCCCGTTCAACCACCTCCAGCCGCTACGCTGTCAAGCTGTGCCATCGCCCAGCCATCACGACAGGAAGTCTTAACCCTCAGCAACCGTCTTCATCTTCTTCTTGTCTTCTTCTTCTCGTCTTTCTCGTCTTTTCTTCTTCATGTTTTTGTAAACAGAGAGCAAGAGAGAGAGAGAGAGGGAGTGATTGGTGACATAACGTTCAAATCATTACATGCCCTAGTGTACACCTATACCAAGAATAATCAGAAAAACGCATGATATTTCAGGAAGGCATGAGAAACATACTAGGAACCTGTTTGATTGTCTGTGACAGGTGGTCATCCATCAATGTATCTGGCTGTAAGACGTCGTGAAGGTACCTACACGTGCTTCTCATCTTCGTCATCATTGTCATCCCTTTTTTTTTTTTTTGACCTTGTCATCTCTATCCCAGTTCCTTTTCCGCCCCCGCTGCTGGGCATGCTCTCGACTACGATGATCTTTTTGTATTTCTGAGAACTGATTTACCAAGATCGGAGTAGTATTGTTGTGCAAATATTACAATTGCGATACGGGTTTTCAAAGTTTGCTTTTCCTGAGCAAAAAATCTAACTTGGAATGTTTTAGCATGATCGTTGGCGGGCTGCGTTCAAAAACATTAGCAGTAGGACAAACAAGGAGGGGGCGGAGGAGGAGGATGGTAGTTGGATTAGAACTGTTCTCTCTCTCTCTCTCTCTCTCTCTCTCTCTCTCTCTCTCTCTCTCTCTCTCCCCCTCTCTCTCCCTCCCTCCCCCTGCGACCCCCATCTCCCCCTCCCCCCCTCCTTCCCCTTCCTCGACGCATGGCGCTCCCCCTTTCGATTTTTCGTTCCTTCTATATTCCTCTCAGGCTCCTACCCAACTTCGCCCGGCCTCCTTCGCAACTGCGCCCGCCCTCCTTCCCAACTGCGCCCAC